AAAAAAAAAACAACAATCTCTCGCAAGAATTGCATAATTGTCTAAATTTCTTTTTATACAATACAAAAAAAAAAAAACAAAAATGTTTCCAATTTTGTTTTAAATGTAACAAAATTGTGACATGATAAAAAATATAATTTGGAAATTTACATCTTATACAAAAAAGTTTTATACAAAAAGTTTTATGATTATACAAGAAAGTTTTATGATTATTTAATACGTTTTCATACACACGCACATACACACGCGCACAAAAAAGAATAAAGTGACTTAAAAAATAATCAATAACACATTTCTCTCATGTGTTTTCACTTGTGTTTTTATTTTGTTAATTTCTCGTATAATATACTAACAAAACATTTAATTACAAAACATGGGCATATATTTGTGTGTGAGTGTTTGTATGTGAGTGTCTGTGATGAAAGCGGCTATGTGTTCTCTATGCGGTACGCGTACCTTTTCTGATTAATGTAGATATTACGATTAAACTTCATAAGTCCTCTACGATAAATAGATGGATCAATAACGACAATTTACACGCAAAAAACGTGTGGCAAATGCCCTCTTATTCCTTCCGTCGTCGTCCCCCCCGATTCGTTTCCGCAAAACTTCGTTTTTTTTTTTTCATTCGTTTCAATTAATCAATTTTACACACACGATTGAATCTTTATCAAAATTCTCGTTTTCTTCCTTTTTCTCTCTCTCTCTTTCTCTCTCTATAACCCATATGTCCGTCATAAATATGCAAACACAAGGAGGGATAAAAACGCTACTGTAATATGCGATATAATAATATTACCGTACTTCGATATATTAGTTATAAATAGTTTTTAATATAATTATTTGTCCAAACACTGAATATTTTACAACAGCCATCGAATCTCAACTATCTGTAATTCTATTTTTAAACAGTTTGCAACTTTTACAGTTTATCATTTTTTTTTTTTTTTTTTCAATTTCACTTTTAATATTATTATGCGTAGCATGTTTGATCCAATATCATATCAATAATAGGGATATATCATTAAATTTTGTAATTTCCTAAAAAATATTCTCTAAAAAATATGTTGACCTAAAGATTATTATGACTGATAATCACAGACAATTTTTTCAATTTTTCCTTTTTCCTTTCATTCCGTCGTCGAGTTTTTCTTTTTGTCAATAATTATTATTCTTATCTTTTCCCTCTTCCGTTTCTTTTAAACAAGTATTAATATTTTAAAAATTCTACACTCTGTTTAAACGTTAGAATAATAGGTTTTTTTTTATACACGTCTTAAGAAGCGTTTTTCATTATATTTCAATTTTTCTTTTTTTTTTTTTAAATTTCTTAAGAGAGTTGTATATAAGAATATTTTAATCTGTTTTTTTAATTTTCGTTACTTTTCTTGGAAAAAAACTCGAAGCACACAAAGAGACGAAATCGCCAGACTTGTTTTTTTTTTATTTATTTATTTATTTAATTTTTTTTTTTTTTGGAGAGATCGTTTAATTAAACGTGATGCGCCGAAATCGCGTTGCGTTGTAATATACGCGCGCTGCATACTCATCATTTCTGCGAAATAACTCAATCACTCGATTTTAACGCAACATCTGTTCAAATCGTCAATGCGGGGCGAATTCGTCTGTAAAACTTCGTCTGTTGAAAGGTAAAACATGCGTAAGAGTCGGAGAGAAACGATCTACCTATTACATCTATACATTAGTATCTTTTTTTTTTTTTTTTTTTTATTATTGTTAGACTATATTTATCGTACCGTTTTTTTTTTTCGGATGTTTTCGTCATTTTAACACGCAACGTTATTTGTTTTTAGAAGTGCTGATGAGTGTAGTAAACAAACGGTGCTCAATGTGCCCAAATATACGAGTGACTTGAGTAGTGATGTATTATGCTTTCTCTCTCTCTTTTTCTTCTTTTTTTTTTGTGATGTGTATATATAGATATATATATATATATAGATTATAATTAATAGCGACAATAATAATAATAATATTGAAGGCTGGATGTATAATACTAAGGAGATTCGTACGCATTCTCTACGCAGTTTAAGGAGTAGTTTTAAAAAGACACAGAGTATGTTCCAGAAAGTACCCGACAGACATCCGTTCGAATTTGTCAGGCAAGAATTATCAAGAGATAAATAGAAATTCTGTTTTTTGTTTCTTCTTTCACACGCTTATTTTTTCTCGTTACAAACACACACGGTCAAAGTTATTCCACATTTTTTTTTCTTCTTTCTGCCGGAGTACTCGTGTAGGGTACTTGACAAAAGCATCGGTAATATACAAAATAATAATAATACGATAAGAGACAATATCTTGATGATTTAATACGCTGACGTATTGCAAAACAAATCAAAATCGTACAATGATAAATGGCGTGTAGCAAATATAATAAGTAGAGCAATGTAAAAATCGTGTTACATGGTATGTGTATGCTTTATAGAGTATACACTTTTGTAAAATCCAAAATAATATTCGTATGACACTGGCATAAACGGTCAAGAGGCTGTAAATAGATCGAATTGTAAAGATACGCGTTTGATTATTATAGAAATAAAATAAAAAAAAAAAATCAAAAACCTGATTTTGTTTTTGCATCTTATCATAATATCAATGTGATTCGTCATATATATGTGCACCGGATCCTAAATCGTTTTCAATTTGCGTTAGTACTTTTTCATTCAACCCTAATACCGTCGTTCGTATAATCAATAAATATCAATAAAATATCTAACATTGTTATTATATTTTCAAGTCAGTTACCACACATACTTACTAGTCGCGCGTATTATTTTTTCATGTACAGATTAAAATTAATATTATTATTATATTAACAATATTCTTCTTCCAATAATAGTTATTAATTATCTGTATTATCGTAATATTACAAAAAAAGATTCACAAAATATCTAAAAAAAATGGCAATTTTACGTGACCAGAACAAGTTCGCGTTTTCCCGTTTTTTTTTCTTTTTATAACTTTTTACAACTCAGAGCATACGCACACTTTGTACCAAACCAGGCCGATTAAAATCGCTGCACGTCGATTAAAGATGCGCGCAGACCGACGCGCAACGTTGTTGGCAACACAAAGTTAATAACAAACACTTCGTATCGTTGTCGCCATGCCGACAAAAAAAAAGAGTGAGATACGATGTGTTGTCAGCACGTGATACATCAACAATATTGCGCCCGGTCTATGCGCAGCTTAATATTATTTGCGTGCTCAAATAATGCTCCTTCCACATCACTCTTCCTTTATATTACCTCTTTAAATAATTCGCGATCAATATTTTTCCGTATAACGCTTTTCTTATTATTATCAAACACTTCCGCATTGCAATCTACTATCTCTTACTCCTAGGCCTTTTTTTCATAAAAAGTGCACTTAACGGTGTCCATGGAGCACCAAAAATTTAAGGGACTACCACCTCGGCAGAAATTGATTATTAGTCGCGCTAATTATACGTTACGGTAGTTTGTCTCAGAGAGCGTCGTGAAAACGCCGTTTTTTTCTTTCTTTTTTTTGCGAATCTATTAGTATTTTTTTTCTTTTTTTTTTTTTTGGAATATAAAATATCATATTCGCGTAAATATATCTAAATCTATCACCGGGTGAAAGCGTAAATACATTAAAGTAAGGCAAAATTGGACTTCACAGAAAGGTATTGGTATACGGAAATACACGATATCTTTCTCCGTGAAATTTGTAAAGTATATTCCTATAAAAGCATCTCTCTAATATCTCCCATTATAGGAAAGTATCACAAACATACACCGGGAGCGGTTTCCCAGAGACGTTTATATCTCAAACCATGCATAAATCTTTTTTTTTTCTTTTTTCGTTCGAGCTATATATAAACGAACTTCTCGAATAGAAATCTTCTTTGAAAGCATCTTTAAACTGTGTTTTGACGCTTCTATTAAAATACATATTAAAACAAAACGTATTATCCTCGTAAAGGGATGGCGAAAATTCAGACATTAAAGATCAGATGATAAACGGTAATCGTGAACACACTGTCAAAGTGGAAGCACAATCATATAAGTGCAACATCTCAAAAAAAGAAAAATAAGGAAAAAAAAAATCTTGTTCCGTTCATCAATAGATAAGAACAGCTGAAAAACAAAACAAAAAAAAACAATCTGTAAAATATAGACGTTTGTTCACCAATTTTACACATGATATTATTATACATAAATAATAAAATCTCGTATCAATGTCTGCCAAAGTAGGTACACCTTCGAACAATGTCCTGCTACAGGAGACTGTTCTCACTTGCCATTCTCTTTTACTTCATCTTCTTCTTCTTCTTAATGCCTACATTCCTAACTTAAGTTAAAACTGGTTTGCTGTCCTTACATCAAAGACGATATATATCTAGTCTCTAACAATTACATATTTTACAAAAAACATTTGAAATCTGGCCCTACAGCAGACATGAGATGTCACAAAGTTAGTCATACACTATACACTAAATTTAAATGTACACAAATCACATTTAAATATACAATTTTTTTATAGTAATATTATGTTCATTCGCTTTATATAAGATCGTTTTGTACACTATATGTAAGTTATTATTATTATTTTTTTTTTTTTTTACTTTTTGTGACATACTCAAAAGAATCGATATATTTATTTCTCGAAATAAGCTATTATCGAAAAACGCGGCCTTTTCTCGTCGCGACCTACGTCGCGTGACGCAATCTCTTTTTCGTTCATTGCAATCCACTGTCAGGGAAAGAGTTTTCAAATTCGATAAAAATTTGTCAAGACCCTCATATATCGTGCGAGATATTATAAAAACAAACAAAAAAGAAAAAAAATGATTGCCAACTGAGGGGCACTAAGCATTTAGTGTAAAGTGTAAGATAACTTGTACACTTAAGCCTCAATAATAGATAATAGAGTAGTCTAAAAAGTCGTGCAAGAAAGCACAGGCGTGAATAAAGTAACACTTTCAAAAGTCTGAAGCGCGTTAGTCTACGCACGACTTTTTTTACGTTTTGGATACGAAAGCGGGACATACTTGAATCGTTTATTGCTATAGGTATAAGTGTGTATAGACCTCCGTTAAAATCAACTACACAACGTAGCTGTCTAAAGTAACATTCTCGTAACCGCCGTGCTCTTTCGCGTTATTATATATCTGGTTTTTTTTTTTTTTTTTTTCTAATATTTAAAATGTATAATCTATATTCTTTTATAGAGTAATAAAAAGCTGCGATCTCTGAAAATAGTTTGATAATGAGTAAAATGAACAACGTTCAACAAAATGAATCCTATTTGAAAGCGCGCGCAATTATATAGCACAATATTTTATCTCTGTGTCGTCGGTCTCTTCGGTTGCTTAGGATAAGCTGTATATGCAGTCTCAATTGAGGTATTTGCGACATCTGCGGGAACCACAAGTACAAGGGATCTTGATATCCTCAAATGGGAATTTGTAGTCGTACGTCAACTCTTCTCCTTGAATGATGCGGCGAAGAGCGAAGATTAGTATGTGTTTCTTACCTAGAATGTCTACCACTCGCGAGTAACAGTTCGGCTGTAAAACATACATTTATATGCAACACGTGTTCATCATCGTGTAAAAGGAAACCCTTAATTACGTACACAAACCACATTTAAGATTTTGTCACTTTATATTAAATTTTTAATGTTCAATCAACGAAGATCAAGGAGAGAGATATATAATCCATACCTCGCATGAGTGATTGATAAATCTAGCTGCATTTCCTTTCATAGTAGCGTCAACAACGAGGTGATCATCGATTTTAAACATATAACAGCCTATATTCTTGCTATCATAGTACTTTTCTCGTTTGTCAGTTAAAGAAGATCTAATAACCTAAAGATAAAAAAAAAATTAATTTAAGTAGTATTAATATATTCCGCAATATCAATAATAATATAAAATAATATATAAAATATATAAAATAATATAAAATAGAGTGTTTCTTGGTACTTACTTCACCAGCGTATTCAATAACCATTTCACCAGCCTCGATATCTCTTAAACAAAATAGTCCTCTACCATGTATATGGGAATGATATACGCCAACAGATTCTTTTGATGTCTCTTTAAGTATCCTAAAACGCATTGCCATCGGCAGATTGGTACTCGCGGCTCGCCTGAAACATTTCTTATGATTGTAGCGGTGTTTTCAAGCCTAGTTAAAAATCGATCCTCAAGTTAAATTACAACTATTATAAACACATATCTATATGAATTTTACCTGGATTCTGCCTCCGATATGGCAATCATCTTGGGTTGTTGCCTATGCTGTGACGCCAACCAACTAAACATATCGTGTACTTTTCTGCTCTTGAAAGGCTCTGCTCGAGCCGCTCCGTTATCACACACTGCAGGCAGTTCGTTCTCTATCTCACCGGGTTTTGGTGGTGCCAGTGTGTGAAATTTGGGCTTATATTTGGTACACCTGTTGACACCTGGTAATTGCTCGACCAAGTAGACGGTAGCGTTGTTATCCAGGCCAAGACTCTCGGACAAAGCATTATGAGGCAGAGGAGGTAGATTGTGAACCTTGCGGGCCTTTTGAACCGCTTGAAAAACTGTTTCCCAGACCTCAGCCATAGACGAGGCTGTGTGAACAAAGCCGTCCTGCGATTTGACCTCATACATTAAAATCGGTCCTTTCGGGCTGTTTTTCTGCGCCTGATGTGTATTCTGTTGCGGACTACTTCGCACCGATCTGATAGATTTTGCTACTATTCTGGGTTTCTTCACAGCCACAGGCGGCGTCTTCGTTTTGAGTATGTTCACCTTCGTCTCCACGGGCTTTACCTTGTCCTCGATCTTATTTGTCTTGAGCGTGAACGTTTTGATTGGTAGCAATTGTAGAGACGCGATCTGAGGTCCTGCCTGTTTTGACGGCAATATTTCTACGGATGTTACCTGCGGCACCTTCTTGCTCTGTGTGACAGCTTTCATGTTGCGTGTTATCTTGTAAGAGCCATCCTGCAACTGTTTTTGTAGTACTATTTTCAACGACGTATTTTGAAGTTTCTTTTCTTTGTCGAGCTCAAGCTTGAGATTCTCTTTCACCTTCTCTATCGTTTCCGTTTTAAGTTTAAAACCATCGTTGATGTTAAGTGTAGCTTCGGATTTCTTAATCGGCACTATTTCTTCGAAAGTTTTCTTCGATTCCACGATTTCCGGCTCGGCTGGTTTGATTAGAGGTTTGGTCGGTTCTTCAATCGCCAAATCGTCTTTCTTCGCTGGGTCTTGTTTCGGTGTTACGGCTTGCATCGGTAGCACCCTGTTCATAGGTCGACTGGTCGGCATGCTGTTGCTCATCGGCATCGAGATCTTATTCAGCGTAGAACTTACGGCGTTAGTGACAACGGTCATATTGTTGTTGCTTACATTTGTATTTGTGCAGTTAGAACTCGGTGCAATGCTGCCGTTGTAACTTTTATGAACATTATTATTTATACTGTGATTCGGTTTGTTATTTACAGATAGATTTCTTTGTGTGATATAATGATTCGGTAGAGGCGATATTTTGGACGATGATATGCTAGATTTGATCATACTGGTATTTTCTGAGACATGTTTCGAATCGAAGTACGGCCGCACACTGTTGTTCATCAATTGATCAGTGCCAAACAGTGATTCGGTGATCTTCCAAGCCGTTCCTTGATTCAACGGTGTGATCGAATGTGCGGCTGGACTGGGTCGTACGGCAACACGTGGTATTGTCGGTATCGCACTCGACGGTGGCGGTGACAACTTCGTGGGTGACGCTATTCTTGACGGCGTCGCAGAAACAGTAGCCACACTGTGAACGTTGGACGGGCACACGTTTGCCACTTGAATCATCGATGTTACCGGTTGTTCTACAATTGTACTTTGACATGGTACTGATGACACAGTGTTGCATGTGACGTTACCAAAAGCTTGATCTTGTGGCGCCGCAGAAATATTGATCTGTGGTGATGCCGCAATTGGTTCCGTTGGCGGTGGCGGTGGCGGTGCCGGTAATGGTGGTGCAGGCGCTGGTGTTGGTGCCGGAGCGGATACTGTTACTGGTGCTGGTGTTGGTGGTGGTGGTGGCGGTGGTGGTGGTGGTGGTGGTGGTGGTGGTGGTGGTGGTGGTGGTGGCGGTGGTGGTGGCGCTGGTTGATTTACCACTACGTAACCACCAGGCACTGCCGGCACGTTGGCTACATTGGTTACGTTAGCCACATTAGCCACGTTGGTAACGTTGGCTACGTTGGTCACGTTAGCCACGTTGGCCACGTTAGCCACGTTGGCCACGTTGGCCACATTAGGTATGCTGGCTATGTTTGGAACGCCAGTTATATTCTGAACGCTAGGCACGTTTGGCATTCCCGATACGTTCTGTACTGTCTGTACTGTCGTCATCGTAGGTACGCCCGGCACAGCCTGCACATCTACGATGGGTTCCATTAGCTTGGACGCCTGAAACACCTGCGTCGTCGTCTGGTAACTGCTGGCCAACACCTGTGGCACCGCGCCTGCCATAAACTGACTAGACGACATCACCGTATTGCTAACTATCGTTTCCAGACCGTAATACATCGGTTGATTCGAAACGAACATACCACCGCTCGGATCGGCAAACATTTCTAGAGTAGGTGCAGAGCTCAGTAGGAGCTGTTCCGACGATATCACGCCGCACTGAATCGCGCTGGGTTGCTGCTGTATGATGGTACCTAACACCGTAGGCTGCGTCTGCGCAATCTGCACGCTTGGCAGTATGGATATTCCGCCGTTTTGCAGCGTAAGCAGGTTGTCTGCAGACGGTGCCTGTATATAGGTGCCCGGTACCAGAGGATTTGTGGCGATCAATTGCGGTTTGAAACCAGTCTCGTGCTGTCCTCCGCCGATTGTCGTGATGTACTGCAAGTTCTGTCCGGATTGTTGTTGTAACGTCTCTACATAAGCGGATACGATTCCCGGTGATGCCACTTGCTGGAGTATTACAGTTGGTCTCTGAGTCGTGGTTTGCTGTAACTGAATGATCGGCGCCGCGCCGCTCTGAATCGCAGGCGCTGGCTGAAATCTTGCATGCGCGATGTTCTGCGGCGTCGATTGCACGACATTTTTCACGATGTGTTGTTGCTGCGGCTTGACACTTTTGGTTTTCGATTTGGTCACTCTAGGATTCTTGGTCTTGGAGCTCGCTCGAACAACCTGCGCGGGCATCTGCGCGGACTCGTGTGCGGTCTGCACACCCATTGACGAAAAAACGGACATATCCGGAGTACGGGCGGTCTGTGAGCTCGTGCTATCCGGCGAGCTCATCGGTGTGTTTACTATCCTATGCGCTGTTATATTGGAATCGCTGGAAACGGACGGCGGGTCTGTAATCTCTGTTATCTGTACCGTGCTCTCCTGAGGAGGTAATACTGTTGGATTTGGCAGAGTGGTGGTTCTGCGGGTGTATTGAGTCTGCACGATCATGTCATTGGACGTTAATACTGTTTGGTGCACGGTCTCAACTGTGGCGTGTGCTGTATGAATCTGCGGCGTGATGATCGCTTGGGCAATCGGTTCGATCTGAATGCTCGGATGAGGCGATGGCACAGATGCCTCAATAGGTGACGTCGCCTGGATATCCGTATAATCGGTCGACAAGGTGTGACCCTCGGACGGCGAAAGTGTGATAAACTGCGGCGACACCGAGCCGACGCTCGACGAAAAGTTGGACTCTGGCGATAACTTGTTGTCCATAGTCTCGGAATCACTGTCACTGGTAATCATAATGTCGCAGCTAGCCAAGTGTCGATTGTAACTGTCCTGAGTGCGATAGGTGCAGCAACATCTCTTACATGTAACGGGTCGGTCAATGTGTTTGAGCGGTGACTCGTATGTATGGATTATTCTCTCGCGCGCCACTACCTGCTGCGACGAAGTACACTCGTCATCGCTCGATATATCACCTGCGCCGTCTACTTGCGGAATCTTCAGACTCAACTTGATGTTTTTCTTTTTAAATAAAACGCTAGGCTTGTACAAAGCGCATCTGGAAAGAGGAGCAATGACGAGATTGTCATTGTTGCTCTTTACTTTCTGCGACTTGATGAAGTCGAAAATTTTTTTCGAGTGTAAAAAATTCGAGGACCGCGTGTACAAACTGAAATCTAATTCAGAACTCGACTCGCTCGCGTCGGACGAATGTTCGTCGTTAATACCATCCAATTGCGGAATCGATTCGGACGGATGTAAGCTCGTATTTTTCTCATCGGCATTATATTCCGGCGAACTGCACTCACTAGCGCTGTTAGCGTCAGACGGTCCATCGACCTGTACTATTCGTGGTTGCTGTTGTCTCGGATGCCAATATAACCTTTTGTGTTCTTTTGCTTCATCCCTAACCGGTAACATACGACGATTCAGTCCGGCAGAATCCTCGATGCAATATTTCAATTCGCGCATTGAATCGGACAATATATTAGACGTGTTTCCTCTATTCACTCTGGCGACCATGATGCTTTCCGGGATCATTAATTCATGAAACATAGACGAACGTTCATTTTGCGCATCTAAAACAATCAGGCCGGTTTCGCTGGACTTGGTGCTGGATGGATTTCGGGGAAATTTTCGTCTCTTTATGTTGGAACTGTGAGTGTTATCCAATTTGCAGCTCCATGTGAGACTACAGGAGCGTTGATGATGTCGCTGACCGCCGACGATCAGCGGATTGTTTGACATCACCTCAGATTTGGACCGCTTTAATTCTCTGCCATTGCGCTTCTGACTTTTTGAATTGAATAAATCGTCCATAAGATCCTGAACCGCAGTCTTTGCCTCGAGTCGCAACCAGAGATCATTGTGCGTCCCTAATTCCAACAAGGACGGATCTATTTTGGATAGTTTGTTCTCCGATGGTTTCGTAGTCTCTTCAACTTCCGACGGTAACATGTCGTCCTTGAACAAATCCGCAGTAAAAGAGCTATCATTCTTCAGATCCATAGCTAAGAAATCCTCATAGGACACTTTCGGAAAGATGTCCTGCATGGAAATTCCGTCCAACAGATCGTGCGGTAAATCCTCGAATATAGCCTCTTTCAATTCCGGTGGTAAGATGTCAGTGTTGTTCTGTTCAGCCAAATTCTCATCGACTTCTTTGTTGCACACGATATCGATAAGCGTGTCTAGAGTTTGTTTAACATCCAAATATGCAACCTTCTGTGCGTCCACTTCTTCTCTATCCTGCTCTTTGCTATGATCGATGGTAATGTTGTTTTCTATGTCGGATGCGACGTCCGGAATATGCATCTGCACGTAAGTTCTGACGCAATACCTCACGATTTTGTAAGGATTTATTGTGGACCAGTAGAGCCTGGAGGATTTGTAATCGCACGGTATTATCTTCTCGGTTGTGTCTGAGAATTCAGGAACAATGGTGCCCAAACAGTCGATCATCAAGGAACCTATCATTACCTTGACCTTGTTGGGTTCCACGTACTTCTTCTTTTTGCGATCCAGTTCTACGTATATCGACCGCTTCAAACTGAACTCGTTTTCGCTTTGTAGAGGTTTGTGTGCGGAACTGTTCGCGTGCAAGATGCAAAATACTGTTTTATCGTCATTGAAAATTAACCCGACGCTTCGTGCGCATGGAAAATGAAAGGTGTTGTTGCAATTCTTTGCGCAACATCCTATACTGGCGCCCTTTTTCCCGCACTCGGTGCAGCGAATCAAACGACCCCTCGAAATGGCACTATGAACGTTTTGCAGAGAACCGTCAATCTCCTCGAATACTTCGTTCGACCAAAGCGCGCAATTCGCGTGAACCCAATCGTTCTGTCCGCAGTACAGCAACCGGCCTTCTTTCGTTTCTATCTCGTCCCCCAAACCTTTGCACAAACAACACGATCTGCTATCCTCGAAATGAATATTATACAAATTTGCCGTTTTAGCCGCGATTGCTTTCGGTGCTTTCATCAACTCTTCCTTCCACGTCTCCAGATTAGGATCCTCGAATCTGATCGGAATCAGATTCGAGGAATCTTTGCACACATTTTTAGAAGGCGTTAACGCGTCGTCGTTTTCGTCAATACAATCAACATTTTTGGGATTGAACCAGGGAAAAACTTCTTGAAGTATCTCGTGATAAATTTTTGTCAGATCTTTCGAACCTGCGCGATTGATCACGTGCTCCATATCATAATAAAACTGCCACAAAGATTTGTACTCGTTGTTAGTCACTTTTTGTTTTACGGACATTAAAGTTGGCGATGGTCTCGCGATGATCTGCTGCTCAGAACAATTGCATTCCGTGATGTCATTCGACGAACTCAGCGACTCCGAATTTGTTCGGTCTTTTTTCTCAATTTCTTGAGAATCTTTTGGAATACAGTTCTTCACTCTGACCGAACATTCCTTCAAATGAAACTTCTGTCGCAACCGCCGTAGACCTTTCCTAATGGAAGTATCCGTCGTAGGTTCTTCCAAATCGGGCTTATTTGTCGCATTATTGGTATCCGAGTTAGAATCTGTATCCTTGTAATCTTCCGAATCTTCGTTTTCTCTTGCGTAATTCGTCTCTTTTTTGCCATCGGAAAATTCGAGTTTTCTCATGCTCGTGTTCGATTTACAGAGACACTCTTTCCTAGGACTCCATTTAAGAGCCGTGCAAACCTTGCGGTTCTTACTCAAGGATTTTATCACGCCAATAAATCCCGCTTTCAACTCGGCTTCTATAGCATTTCTCCATACGGAGTTCGAGGAGTTGGAGGAGCACTGACTGCACGTAAATTCGATAGAATCGGGCAGGTAACTAAGTATCTGGTAACGCTCATCAGAAAGGCCTTCACAACGGGCATGTACCCAACAGGAACACTCGTTACATTCCATCATCTAAAAAACAATCGCAATAAACCATATAAAATTATTGACTATCCTCCTTCAATGAAGACACAAAGTTCACGACAAAGATAACTGACCTTCGTGTCGTAATCGTTTTCGTTGTAACATCTCTGACACAAAGGACAATAATTTCCTTGCTGCCTTAACTTAAAACACATAGAGCACAGAGGTAAATTGCCCACGTGAACGCTGACACCTTCGCTACCGCAACTCTTACACTTGATACAACTCTGACAAACGTAGGGTCGATCCGGACTGTACAACCTCGAACTAACGCCGGATTTCGACAAACACGAGTGGTGAAACGACTGACGACAACGAATGCAAGACAATTTCGGACCGGATCTGAGATGACAGGACTGACATACTGTACACCGAGGACAACACCAGTTTGGCTGTGCGCAAGCACTCCATTCACTGGGTTCCAAACAGAAGGGATGGTATGGCTCACAACAGCACTGACAGTGTATCAGCTGCAAATAATACACGTAATGTGTATCCATAAACTTATGTTAACGACCGATAAATAATTTGACATCACACTTACTGGTTCTTTCCCAGCGCTTCCACATAAATAGCAAATAGCGGGTATGTGAAATAACTCGGAACCAATAAGAGCAAAACCTTTTGCTCCAATTTCCGAAGGATCGTATTGCTCCCAAAAGTCTACAGAGACTGTATACAAGGTGTCCGTAGCTGCCTTAGACATCTGCGATAAATATTATTGTAAAATCGCTACAGCTCTGACTGCGGTAAAATTTCAGAAGCAAGATAGAAAAACTATAAGTTTTACATCTATAATTGCAGATAGAATGAAATTTAAAATATAGAAGCGCACACAGAGAAGAAAATATTTATAATTATAATAATAATAATAAAAAAAAAAACAGACTTGAAAAAATATTGTACCACTGGAAAATGCGACGTTGATACGTTTTGTTGTTGCGACTTTCCTCTTTTTGGATAAGATTGTTGCGTTACGTTAACGTTTTGATTCAAATTACTATCCTCGTTATGTTTCTGCGTCTCCCTTTCTTTTGCAACATCATCCTTCTTTTCTATTTTCTCGAGTTCCTTAGCTGTTTTTGGAATGTTTTTGCCATGTTCGCTGTCTTCTTTCGCATCTGCGGAAGGAAAAGTTGCAATTGGCTGACCAAGAGCGACACTGGCGCTTCGACAAACGTGCTTGACTCTTGGCCCCTTCAATTCAAGCCTCTGTCTGAGAGGTTGCGGACATTGGTTGCTTGTAGACGAAGTGAGCACTGCGTTTTTAATTTTCTTTCTTACTTTAATTCTATTATTTTTTCTCCTCTTTTTGTTGGGCGATATGGTCATTGAAGAATCAACTGCAACAAAATTCACGTCAATATGAATTCATAGAAAAAAAAATATGTACTCTCAAAAAAAAATGCAAATTATTATTTACATTTGTCTATTTTTGTGTACAAAAAACCTCCGGTACCCTGATAACTTGTTTTCTGTCCCATTTCGAAATTTTTCCAACTCATGGCGGACTTAAACAAATTTCTTTCCGAACTATCTTCCGCGGGCCAACTTAGCTTACCCAACTTTTGTCCCTGACCATCTTCGTCCTGACCGAGTGGCAAGGATATACTCAGAGGATCTCTCATTAACGGTGGTAACAATGCGTTTAAACCTGTCCTCAGAGCGGGTGGAATGTTGTAACATTTCAAACACATTTTTAACCAACACGCCGGGCATCTGGCTTTATAAACGCATCTCATGAGATTCCACTGCTGGCTTCTCACCACAGGCGGAACTAAACATAAACCGTCGCCTTTATGACACTGAAGAACAGGAAGAACATTGTTTGAGGATTTGGCGCACGTCTGACGTTTGATCATCTTGCTTATGAACTTTCGGCAAGATTCGCAACTGTGGATACCGAACTTGCGCGCCTGTTTCACAAACCGATAAAATCGCACCGCGCCGCAAACACCGCACTTTATAGTTCCTGTTAATCCTGAAATGTTAAACAATTATAAACAGAGTGTCATAAACGTTTGCGATACACAACTCTAAATTTGCAAAAAAAAAAGTAAAAGCAAGATAGACGTACCTAAATTAGTATTTCCTCCCATTGTGTTACTGTTGCTCGTTGTTGAAAATGGTCCTTCTGTTCCAGCTAAACACTTGTTATCCAACTTCAATCGCGCTTTCCTCAATATAACTTTTCCACCATTGAGTTTCATTCCACTGAATTCCGATTGCTCATTTTCCGAATGATTGCTATGCTCGTTCTCACTTTCAGACAAATTGGGTTCTGTCTCAAAACTGTTCGATGTACCAACTGTACTCTTATTACCATTTTCAGACTGAACCTCGGATTTTGCACAGCCACCTTCCGTTAATCCTGCACCACTTTCACAGTTTGCTTGATCACTTAAATCCCCTGCTATCTCGGCTTGAGTTCCTGATCTTGTCTGAACTCTGGAAGACTCAAAGTTTGGAACATTGGATTCGGGAAGAGCTTTTGTAGGAATAGAAATCTGTTTCTGATTTCTGGGAACTGTTGATTTTGCAGTTTGTGCAGCCTTGCTCGCATTCTGCGAGCATTCCTGATTGTTATTACAAATGTTAGATGTGCTGTTTGATATTTTATTCTTACATGATATAGTATAAGATTTCTTTACTTCTCTATGAGTTTTTGATATTTGTGCGCTTCGTACAGAACTCAATGATTTATCTGTATCTTTTGTTTGCTGAGTAACACTCTCGGCGTTAGAATCTATCTGAATAAGTTTTTTCGATTTGTTTCTTGCCTCTCTATCTTTTAATTTTGATTCCTGGTTGCCAAACTTATCCGAATTCAATTTAGCCTTCTTCACATGAGTGTTAATCTCGTTCTCACTGTGTTCTGTTGTAGAAATTTCTTCCAATTCTTCGATAAATCTCTTATTTGGCTTAATAACTCTCGATGAATGCACACTACGAACCGGCAAAACAAATTTTCTCACTGTGCTAGACTTTTCTCCAGATTGTACCACCAAATTGCGCGTATTACTGCCATTTGATTTCGCTCTCTGAAGTAATCTTTTTGCAGTGCTGTTACGTAAATGTCTAGTTCTCTGATGTTGATCCAAAATGTTATTCACAGATTTTAGCACCGGAGTTTTCAAATAATTCGAAAACTTAATATTCTTACAATTCTTGCGACTTTTGCCTTTCTGGAGTTTCGAATTATTTTTAGTGTTTACATTTACCACTGATTTGATGGAATCGTCTAGTTTTGAATTCGCGTCGACAAGCTTCTCCGTATTGTTTTCTGTATTTGTTGCATTTGTTGAACCTTTGATGTCCGTTACATTCTTCGTGCTAGACTGCGGTGCAAGAGTTTTTAGTGAGACGGAAGGTAATTTATTGGTGGTTTTTTCTGCATCGTGTTGTTGAGTTTTTATGTAGGATGCAGAAAGATTAGCCTCTTTAGTGCTAAATCCATGGAATGGTGGATGTTCCTGAAAAGAGAGAAACACGTGTGTGTAAACATAAAAAAAAATATCTTTCCAACATTAAATTCCAACATCTATTCCGCGCTTGCGGTTGCTTCTAAATGTCATGCCAACAAAGTAAACAAACGCGATCTATGAGTTATATTTATTTTCCCTGTGTGCAAAAACTTATATACCCTTATAAATATTCACTTGCAACTAATAGTTTTACATTTAATTAAATGCTAAGAGTCAAGAGAAAGCAGACATTTACAGGCATGTTTGACTGACATACTCTGTACCCAAAGTATCAAACTGCTGTCACACGCACAAACATATAGAAGAAAATCGCTGTCGCTCAACCGTCACATGAAGAAAACGTACGGTAGGGCGTGAGGAGCCAATGATGAAACAAGAATTGACTTATTTTCTCGCGTTAATACGCGAACACCTGCCATTCCGAGACCCGCCGATCGGTTCCCGCCGCGGGAATAGGTTAACCCGCGCGATACGCGGCGCCAAAAGCTCACGGTCCCGCATACGTCCTCGCGGATCATCTCGCGGTGTGCGTCTTCGTGACGCTCGCCGGACGAAACGCGATAGCGAGTTGCGGCCTGGTAGCGTGACGCGCGGTACATCCTACCCGCGCGACGCAACGCTGTTGCGGATCTCATGGAACAATCGTTCGGGCGGCGGGTACGTAACACCAAACGACAACGTCAGTTGTCGAACAAACAACGAGACACAAACAGAGATACGGGAACGAACGAACGGACGGCGGCAACAGCGAACGCACCTCGACATGACGATTTTGTCCCCTCACCTTCTCGTTGTCACCGAATGTTTCATTGAACAGGGAAAGTCCTAAGTAGATGTTCTCGGCGACGGTTACCGGATCGGTCTGCACTGTCTCAGGCTGGCCGAGCACCTTGATCCGTTTCCTGGTCGCCGCTTTCGACGGCTTCCCGGGAAACCTGGACCTTCCCATGTTCACTGTTCTCAACGACAGACTTCAACCTCGCAGCGAAATTCCGCTTCCATTTTACTCGCGATTTGTGTCCACGACCGAGAGGCGCACCGACTCTCTCGCGTACACTATAAAGCGACGTACGCTCTCCGACATACGCACGCACACACGTACACACATACGCGCCGCATATATACACGGGCTGCCATGTTGGGAACTCTCGGGCCGCTGACTGTTCGGCCGGTCTCGGCTTCTGCTTCGGTCGCGTTCGTTCGGGGCCGCGAAATACGCGCGTACTTGTCAAACAGAGAACCCGGGCTCTCTTTTACCGAGAGACTCGGGCCGCCGATACGCCGTCGCAGGGTCGTCTGTGGCGTTGTGGCCTTCGCCGAGGAGAGTAATGCCGGTTTTTTGCTCAATGACAAATTCCCCCCCGAGCCACAATTGAGATCCTTCGCGATCGCTTCGATCGTGGTTCGGACGGATTCGTCGTTTTTCGACAAGAGGTAAACAATTCAAATTTCTTAAACGAGAGAACGAGGCGTTCAAGAGAGACATTAATTGATGACCGGCGCCGTTGCGTATTTCGTTCCCGACTTTATTGTTTCACCACCATCTCGCGATAATTTTGCGATGTTCAACGACGCCGGACATTACAGTTTTCTCTCTCTCTCTCTCTCTCTTTGCTGTGCGCGTGTTCTGCGGCACTAACTGCACGTGGCGGCGCCGCGGTTGTTACAATTTTCTCCTAAAAGAGAGATTTGACGTCTAACAACGTTTGACACGGAAATAACAAACAAAAAAAAACATCTCGGAGCTCAGCGTTTTATTTACACCGATCGGCACTGTGACTCGCGTGTTTCGCAAGTGGAGAAAAAAAGTTCCTTTTCTATGTGCCTCCCCCCGTTCTCTCTTAGCCGTTGACCACCGCTGTCAGTCGGCCGAAGTGAAACGCGGCGCGTTTATAGAAGGAGAACTTCTTTCTCCTTGCACACACACACACACGGAGGAAAAACGATTCAATGCCGATCGGTGCAAACGTACACATGTAGATCATATTGCTTGAATACCACCTATATACACCTCTCTGAAACTTAGATAAACACCGATCTCCGGAAATAAAAATAAACGAACGTCCCCGCTGTGCGGATATCTCGCGGTGCAGGAAGTGGGACCGTAACGCCCCGTAAGTAACTCGATTTTCTTTATAGAAGACACACCGAAGCTGTGGACTCAAGCAAGCGCGACGGAAGATGTTGGCTCCGGTGTTTGCAACAGAGAAATGTGCGATCAAAAATAATAAAATTAAGAACCGTAACAAATACAAACTATAAATAAAAATAACGCGTCGCAACTAAAGACATCTCTCATTACTTGGCCACGCTTCTTATCGTCCGAAAGTAATAAAAAAAAAAAAACTGCAGCTTGAAGGATAACAAAGATCAGGTGAGATCTTTTATCCATGATGGTGTAAACATTTTTTTGCGTCATGGTTTGTTATCGAGTTGTTTATATGCGATTCCAGACCTCTCTCCGAGAAACGCGGTCAGTATGATCGATTTTTGATATTTACTTGAAAAAGAATTTTATAAAGGTGCGTATCTTTTTTTTTAATATATATATATATATATATATACACATATTTTTATATAAAAAAATGGATATATTTTTATGTAAAAAAAAATAAATAGGGGAGAATAGGGGAGAGGATTCTGTATATTTACCATATTTTTTTTATTCATTTTGTAAAATATATATTTTTTACCTGAGATCTCTCTAGGTAGAGAAGTAGTTGCGCAATACATCGACGCGCATATCGCGCGAGTTGTGTATTATTATACCGTACACATCTCTTGAAATACCGGACAATAAACGTGTACGTTCGTATCGCAAATCACAGTCTCTGTTCAAATTGTAGTTCGCCCCAGGCGACAGAAAAAAACAAAAACATTTATTGACTCATCGATTCTCGCGTTACATATGTGAAAGCAGTACATCTTTTTTTTTTTTTCAAATAACTAACAATTTTCATTGTACGACTTCTAATAAACCTCTGATATCTGATATGTTGCGAATCATTAAAAAAACCATAAAAATGATTCGCCTGAGAACGGAACGCTTCGACAAGGTAGTCCGTGATGTGAATTTCGTTTTTTTTTGTTTTGTTTTTTTTGTTTATATTTTGCAAAATAGAAACGAGGTTTAATTCAAAACTTTTTATTTACTTCCAGGTATTTTTTTTTTTTTTTTTTGTTTTCAGCAGAAACGTCAAATCGTTAATTCATTCGTAACGTTCGCACAACAAACAGTTCTTTTTGAAACTAAAATACCGCCGATGCTTCTCTCGATTCAATTTAAAATGGAATTTGCAAACAACAGTAATGCATGTGAGAGCGCAGCTAGTGGTATATACAAAATTAACCTGGGGTTTAAATCAATGTAAAATTTGTTTCAAAATATATATCTCTCAGTCTGTAAGAAAAAAAATTTTTTCTCTCTGAATAAAAACTGGTTTTTGTTTCTGATTTTTCACAGAAACTTGTTTTTATATACAAATTACTTTTTTTCAGCGCGACTCTCGTTTATCGGATCGAAAACGTACACACACACGCGCACGCACACACGTACGCGCTCCGCCGTCCGAAAATCACCACCTGCCGTGGCTATCAGGCTAAATATCGGACGGGCGCGTGTCGTCGCGTCGAGAAAGAGAGAAAACGAAGCAGACGAAGACCATAGGAGAAAGAGAGAGAGAGAGAGAGAGAAAAAAATTGTGGTGCGAAAACAGGCATCTGGCCTCGAAGGCGCGTCGTCTACGAGTGGCAACCTCTGAGACTTGTTACCAGCGAGTGCACTCGCTCGAGTGCCTCACGGGCGAGAGAGCGAGCTAGCGAGCTCCACTTATCTCTCCATCATTCCGCTCGAAATACTCGAGCGGGTGTGGTACCACCGGTCGTTGGAATCGGTCTGCTGCTAGCCGGTTGTAACGGAGCTATATAAGAATCTGCTTGCTCCGTTTCGTTGCTTTGCATTGCGCGCACCTTCTTCTAAGCGCGTTGCACCACCACCACCATCACCACCGCCCTGACTTTAGAACGTTTGTGACCATCGTCGGTACATTCCTCGACGATTTCGCGGTAAAACGCCTTCCTGTGAATAACCTCGAGGCGGATGCAACAACTAGCAACAACGCGGCGTTAAGTAGAACTCGCGACGATTTAAAAGCGCGCCGGACGCGGCTGCAAATAAAACAACTCTTCCGAGTATAGATTACTTTTTTTTTTTTTATCACCGCGGTTATCGCACGAGATAGTTTATTACAGTTATTATTACGACCGGCGTATAAATTATTAAACTTTCACCGTGTATATACGTTCGCGGAAATATTTCGCCACGAAATCTCACGCGACGCATTTTCCCACCGGACAAGTGCCTGCGCGATCCTAGTAGGATAAAACGCGCGCGAATAGAGCGAATTGCCCCGGTCCATTCGCGCGGTGTGCGAACGTACGTGCGAGAGAGCGAATAAACGAGCAAGGACGAGACAGAGACTGATGTAATACATATTAATACAGCTGTATATGCGGGCGCGCGTTCGCATCGCGAGGCCCCAGGACCGGTTCGGATTTTATGACGGTGTCGAACGTTTGCACACGAGAACCGGCAACGACGCCCGATTTATACATTCGCGAGGCGATCCGTTTCGAGAACCGCCCACGTGGTTCGGACATTATACCGTGCCTCGGTGTCATTGCCGGTTCTCGTGCGTGTTGTTTTCCTCGCGCGCTTCTTCCTTCAAGCGCTTTTATTTCACATCCGAAAGACACAATATCAAGAGACAATAGTTCTCTCAGTTTTGAGACAATTATATCGATTTTCGAAACGGTTGAAAAAGTAAAAAAACGAAACGAGAACACACTCAACTGTGAATGCGATGTAGCCGTTTGGCCGTTCTTTCTATTGTGCGACCGTATATAGAACTCTCTCTCTGGATACAATTGGGTTGCGTTTATACGCGAATCAATGTCGGTATCGTAGCACCGGTCATCGGCAACCACAATGGCATTTAACGTGTGTTCAACTGCGAAGTTGCAAATCGAATATCTATTAATAATGGTTGGTGTCGTTACGCTTCGCTGCAACTTTATTTTAACATCGTATATACACGGGATACGCTCAACGCTGTATTAATGTGTGCATTGTGTGTTTCAATAAGATGATCTGAAAAGAGAACAATTATAACAAACAAGTCTGTCGGTTTTGAGCAGACACACTAAATTGCGATACATTTTTATTGGATTTTGATTTTGAGCGGTTCGAGATCTTTTATTTTGTTAAAGAAATTTACTTAATTACAAAGAGAGAATTTTGCTTTGTGTTATATATAAAATCTGACGGAGAGTCTTTTTATTTTTAAATACAAGCTTGTTATAGGCTAACGATAAGTAACGTTTTATCGATGTTGCAGAAACTGTTATAAACCATAAAATGTCCAGCGTGCATTAACACACCGTGCGTTGTAATATTGTGACATATAATATATTCTGTATTTCTCTCTTACTCTCTCATTCACACAGAGAGATTGTAGTTCTCCACAAAACGACCTAACTATATTTCACGCCGGGCGAGGCAATTCGTTTTATTTCCGGGTAACGAAAATGGTCGACGTACATTTTCATTCAAGAACGCTTTTCGACAAATTACTTTTAATTGCGGCCTGCCGGAATTCGTTAGCACATTTCTATAGCGAGAGAGAAAGAGGGACGTGGAAAGAGAGAGAGAGAGAGAGAGAGAGAGAGAGAGAGAGAGAGAGAAAGAGAGAGAGAGAGAGAGAGAGATGTACCCATGCGCGTATTAACGAAGGCGGTGGATACATAGCGCGGCAATGAGAAACAGAGATCAGTTCACGCTTTATAACAATGGCAGCTCGAAACCATTCACAGAACTCAATAGATACAATCTGCACAATCGAGAAGCGAATCACCGCGGTCGGTTCACGTGGTCACCATTATTCAATCTTGTACCGCCTGTTTCTCTTCCGCACCGCGAAAATCTATAATCTAATAATACACTCTCGAGCGAGGGTAGGTTTGACTAAGTGGAAAGCGAAACACACAACAGGGGCAAGGGGTAAAAACACAAAAGTCTCGTTTGATAAATGTCAAGAAAACACCAAACAAAAAAAGAAAAAGTAGACGAAACAAAACGTACGTTCGGCTCGAATATTTTTTCAAGGTGTTTTTTCGAAAAAAAAATGGCTACAACTTATTCTGCGAAACGTGCACATCGGACAAAATAATAATCGCAATTAGCAATTCCGTGAAGAGGGAAAATTTAGATTTTTATTTATTTATTTGTTTTACAAACAGGCAAAGAGAGTGCGCGGGTCGCTCGTCAACGACGACGATACCGTTTTGAAGTTGAAGCGGAGTCATGCTTATCGATTAGCTACACAAGCGTTTATATGTTTGACATATATATATACATTATACATATATATATATATATATATATATATATATATATATATATATATATATATATATATATATATATATATATATATATATATATTGTGCGTACAATTTAACGCGGTTATCCATTATCAGGATAACGATGCGTCGTTTAACAATATACGCGTTGTATTTCATATACGAATATAACAGACCTGCATAATGGGATAGTCGGTGTTTCTCCGCAATTCTGTTTATGACACAAGATCGTATCTATCGGATTTGTGGGAAACTCGGTCGGTTTCTGTTACGATAGAATTTGTATTTGCCGTATATATCTTATGACAAGTGATAATGATGACTCTCTGTCTCTCCGATTATTCGAAATTTGTTTACAATCAATGTGAATTATCATAATTAATAGGAAATATCTGCAATTTTACACATGTTAATTTAATTTATAGCAAATCGACCCACATCCGGCGTGTGTCATATTGGTATACGTATTATTGGAAACTTGGAGAGATTGCCGGGATCTGACTAGACCGGTTAATCCACCACCGGTTGAGAGCAAAGTCGCTCGAAAAACATTAATATTCAAACAGAGTGATTAATCTTGCTGGCGGATAACCATCGTACGTGTCAGTATTCAACAAGGCAAGTAAGCGGTCACTAACACTAGATCCGCCTTTAATTAACATTTCTTAAGTGCTTGCGGGAAGCAGTCAAGTCGACGGAGTCGGGAATCAACTCTCCGCACAAACTCGTTCTTTTATATAGTGTACAGAAATTTTATAATAGAGGCGGAAACTCTTTTAAACATACCTATTATTAAAAACAAAAAAATCTTCTCGAGATAGCCAAGTGTGTTCCTATGATGAGGGGTGATGGATATTTGTGACAAAATTTAATGATATAACATGAAATTAACAGTTCGAGATGTGATTTGAAAAAAAGTGACAAACGAGACTTTTCGCGTCATTTCTAGTTAAATGTTTCTAAATAAATTAAATTATACCCCAAAGTGTGTTCAATGTGCGTGAAACAGATTTTGCGAGTTTTTCGAAGAACTGTACAATAGATTTAATCCGGGAAGAAAATCGTTGGAGAAAAGTTGAAGAAAAGACGTTCGGATGATTCT